TCTCTCTCTCTCTCTCTCTCTCTCTCTCTCTCTCTCTCTCTCTCTCTCCCTCTCGACCAGCGTGGTACGTTTATCATTATTTCTTTCGTACACAATATCACCGCACGCAATTACCCATACTTTATACAACGTCGCCCGACGTCACTATCACACGAAGAAAGGTCTTCGACTTTTCCAGGCGTTAACGCACCTTCTGATTTCGCTGCAGCGCTGCTGGTCACGTGATTAACTGCCGTCGCAGTGATTGGTTTCGCGGAGCGAGCAGACCCATTCCCCATAAATGAACGTTTCCTATGCGTGAAGACCCGCCTGTCCGACTGTAGTGCTTACACATGGTTCGAATGTCGGGTCATCATTTTTGATCTGTCGGATCCCGGCTAGCCTCTCGTGCTTTCAACGGAAGCAACACTACGGATGCATGCATATGTGTGCGCGCGTGCGTGCGTGCGTGCGCGCATTTGCGTGTGCGTCTGAGTGCGAGCGCATGTGCGTGCATTTGCGCGCGCGTGCGTGCGTGCGTGCGTGAGTGCGCGTGCGCTGTAACCGTGCTGTCGTGGCCGTGCGCGCACTCTCATGCGGGAGTGCGTGTAACAGCACTACTGCAACAACCGTCTTTGCGTTAAATCACCGCTTCTCTGCAGTGGCGGGGTAGGGAGGTGGGAAGAGGGGGGGGGGAGTTAGACCGCGTAGGTACAACATATTATTATCACAAGTCAATTTGTCCCACCGGCGACCACACTAACTGCTTTAATTCACGTGGACTCGCAGAGATCCTTTGGCGAGATTAATGCAATCTGACCCTCGGAGAGCCACGAGAGACATTTCGCTGATTGAAGTCTCGGCACGTTCATCCGTGATTTCTTTTCATGTTTTTTTCATAAAGCCTAGCGCACACACCCGAACAAAACACATTGAACGTGGAGCAAAACGTGTTTCGCTCGATGTTCGTGGCTGTGTACGGATTCCCGAAACATTGCTCAGCTGAGCGTGTTTCGCTGAACAAGCAATGTTTGATTCGCGGAACGTGTTTTCGCCTGAGCGTACGTTTTGCTCGGGTGTGTGCATCAATCGTTCTGCTACGCAGCGAAACGCCACAGACGGTCTCCAATCAATATCCTTAAAAATATCACATGACACACAAAATTGGATGTCAATTGGATGGCTATTTTTGATGTCATGTGACAGCGGCGCTGTACGCAGTGTTTCTGTATGTTTTGCTCAGCTGTGTGCTGTGTCGGGTGGCGTGTGTGCGCTTGCTCGCCGAAACAAAATTTCCCGTTTTGCTCGGGTGTGTGCGCTAGGCTTAAAACAAACTTAAGTCGGCACGAACGCGAAATCGATGCATCGTGTATGTTCTCAAAGGAAAGCGAGCTGCACGATGTATGTTGAGAGAAACATCTACCCATCCGCTAGCTCTAGTACTATAGCCCGCGTACATTGACTGCCGCAGGCAAGCGCGAGCCTGCGGCAGTCAATGTACGCGGGCTATAGTACTAGAGCTACCCATCCGCATGAGCAGCGCCAGCAATTTCTAGCTCGCAAAGACTACTTTAATTAAACATTCGGGTTTTTCTTCGCTTTGCGTTCGGATGATCGAATGAAATATAATAACATCAGTGTTCGACATATTTGTTTTATTCATTCCGTGGTTTGTCATGTGTTTTCTACACATATATACTTTCCTTTGTAATGCACATGTTATAATATATTCACGTAATCTGCGCATTATGGGTCAGTAAATTCCTACTATTACTACTATTACCATTATTACTACTATACTGTTTACATTATATTACATGTGCTGCTACAGCTACATGTACATCTGCAGCTACAGCTACAGCTGCCTAGTGCCGCTGCTACGGTTACACTACGACTACTACTGTTGCTTCTGCTACAACTAACAGTACTACTGTGCCGCTGCTCTTCACGCCACCTCCTCCACCGCCGCCACCTCCGCCACCGCCGCCACCTCCTCCACCGCCGCCACCGACATCGCCGCCGTCGCCGCCACCACCACCACTAACAACAACCAACAACAACAACAACAACAACAACAACAACAACGACGACACCACCAACAACAACAACGACAATAATAATAATCATTATTATTATTAATATTGTTGTTATTATCATCATCATCATCATCGTCGTCGTCATCATAATCATCATCACCATCGTCATCAATATCATTGTTATTATTCATCGCTGTACCACCAGTGATTGTCTGATTTCATCTTGGGGGTTCGTCGGCAGGGGTGCAAATCCAGGGGGGCAGGGGGACATGTCCCCCCACGAATTTTCAGAGGGGGAACATTATATCAAATGTCTCCCCCCCCCACGATTTTGGATCACCGTGATTTTGTGTGTAAGTGTGTGTGTGTGCTGTCGGCCGGTGTATGGGTGTGTGTGTGTGTGGTTGTGTGTGTGTGGTGTGTGTGTGTGTGTGTTTGTAAAGTGAGAATCTTTTCATTGTGTGTGATAGTTGCGTCAACGATTGGCTTTCTTTTTTCCTTTTTTTTTGCCAGCTTTCATTCTTATTCAGTGCATTTGAGAGCATAATAATGATCATTGCCACAACTAAGGAAAAATAGTGTTTGATAATGCTGAGTACCGTTTCTTTTTTAACACCGTTTTTTTCTTATATTAAATCATCTTATGCAAAAATCATCTAAGAGAAAGTATGTTTATGAAAGTCTGTAGGAGCGACCTGTCACTCGCACATTAGAGCAACGTTCTATTCAAGGATTAAGCTGGGACACCGAGTATATTTCGACCGCAAAGAGACCGCTGAGTAACTAGCATCGGTTTTGAATTAATGTAATTTTCATTGCAAATTGACTGATATATATACACGTCACTATATGATATTGACTGGACCAACAAAATAACGGACCAATTTATTTGGCTGTGATCAGCCTCGATCAAACCAAAGATATTGGTTTTCTGCTTTTTATTTCTTGATTTTCATGACTGCATGTGGACAGCCCTTTTTGGTAATCTTATCACCAAACCTAATGCATGCCGCTGTGTGGTTGTGTGGAGTGGTGTGTGCTTGTGTGTGTCGTGTGTGAACTGTTCGGAGTGTGTGTGGCGTGTGTGGTGTGTGGTGTGCTGGTGTGTTGTGTGTGCAGGTGTTGTATGCAGGGGGGGGCGCGTCCAAGGGCTCCTGCGACCCCCCTCCCCCCCGCTTGCGCAGGAAACGCATCATGAGGGGAGTCTAATTTCATGTTCATTTTTTTCGTGCTGCTCGCTAACTGGTGTGTCCCCCACATTTCAAAATGATTCTGCGCGCCTGATATAGTCGACGAGCACAGGTCATCAGAGGACGGGGATACCAGATGTAAGTGTTGCCGAAAGGAGGTGTGATCCTAAGCGCTGAGCGCACATCTTGCGCGCAGTTCCGCGGCAAGGTGCACGCGACCGCCGGGAACGTTTTACGACAGTATGCAGCGCTGGCAGCTATGGATCCGTGCGCCGAATGCATAGGCCGGCGCCACGGATGCAAGCTGCCAGCGAACAGTCCGCAATTTTAGCGGGGGACACAGAGGGCACACATTTGGACGTGGGAGGAAACCGCGACTTACATGGGGCGTCGGTACAGATGGGGGGGGGCGAGAGCGAAGCTTTTGATTTTGCCGTGGTCCATTTCCGTGTGGCTTAGGCGTTTTCACTATAAGTTCCAAACATAAAAAGTTCCAAACATAAGAAAAATCGGAGCATTACTTTGATAAAATAGTGATACGAAATAGTACGCGGATTGTGCGCCTTAGTTACCTCTTTGAAATCATACGCTGTTTAAGAATCGCCATCTGCTGCATTCCCCAGAGCTCCGCCCACTTTAAAAATATTGCTAGCCATTGTGGCAGTGGTATCCTGAGGTACGAACGACGTTAGTATTTATGATTCGATTTTCGAAGACAGCAGGCGAAAGTGCAGCATTTGAATACAGCTTACTTCATTAGCATTATATATAGTATCTTAATGATTCTCCGGACAGGCTTCTTTTGTCTATATATACACAATTAAATACCTTATCTGCACTCTCTATCATCTATGTGACCTTGCCTATATCATATGCCACCCTTAGTCCGCAAATGCAGACGATTATAACACCGCCTTTGCTAATGTGAGGGTGCGGGTTTATCATCACCCCCATTACTGGGGTCTGCCGTAGGTGCCTGTATGCGAGTGATAGAGTTGCAGCCAGT